AAGTGCACACGGAGTTGCTTTTCGATTAAAACTATACGATTGTTTTTTTGGTTTTATGTACATAATACATCGTACGACATGCCAATATGATCAATTTTCGTTTTCATCGCATTAAAAGTTTGTGTGGAAACGCGATATAATACTATTACTGATATTATTATTATTTTTCCAATTTCGTATGAACAAACCGGGTTTCTATACAGCAAGCGCACCTCTCACCCATGTCATATTATATCATCCTAATCGATTAGGATTATTATACCGTATTACACCCTATAATATAATATAATTATTTAAAGAACAATAATATATAAGTTTATGAATTGGGTTTTTTACACCAAGTAGCGAGAACCAGAGATCGGTTTACCCAGATTATAATTGGGTACCATATATTCTTTTTGTGACGGTGATTTTCGCAAGTTTTTCTATAAGCATTTGCCCGTATTCAATTTGTCACATTATCACATTATCAGGTAACATATTGTACTTAATATTAACAAAAAATTAAACAAAATTTATATTAATTATATGTGAATCGAATTAGAATACATTTGCTTGCATATTTTCCAGTATAGATAATAGGTATACTAGAAAGACGCAGAAACTATCTTTGAAATTATCTTAAAACGTTAATAGCTAGATCATATAAAATACAATGTCATACTTGGCGGAAAACCAGATTCATAAAGGTATGTCGGGGAATATCATTAGATTGTATCACAGCGTATTTGTTTAAATTTCGACGGTATTACACGGTTTAATATGGGAAATTGGATATAAATACGCTATCGCGGTACTGCCGTCCGCAGATCCCCGCCACCACACGGCGCTTATATATAATAACATATAATCCCCGGGAATGAATTTCAAGGATAATCCCGGCCAACAAACTTCCCCGCGGCAGTGGTTTAACACCAACACGCGAGCACAGCGTGTGTACGTGTACGCGGCCCGACTGCAGTGTTATGGTACCACACCGATTACAGTGATAATACTTGGCTTTACTTCTAAACTGCTTGATACCGTATAATATACTTAAACGATCGTTAAACGTACGCCTATGCCGTTTAGCACCGTTAGCCGCACTAAACGTTCATCACGCCGACTCGGGCTTTTTTCTCACTCGGCGCCACCGGAAAGAGCAAATTTATTTATCGGCCTACGCACCATACGTGTGTGATACGTACGGCGTGTCACACAAAATAAAAATCCTTATAGGACATTTCAAATCTGAATTGAATTCGAAATCGATCGTAAAAAATCTACAGGTATCATAAATAGGAGTATCTGTTGGAAAATTGTAAGTTCATTGAGTTAAGATTTGAAACTTTTCCAAGACTAATGTGTCACCTTGAATTAGTTAAGCTAGTTGAATTAGTATTTACTTCTAAAATTTCTAAGAATTATAAAAATTAGTATAAATAATAATGAAAAAATAACTCAAGTCTCGCTGTAGCCTGTAATAATTTCTTGTTTATATATTTATGTAGAGCTATAGTTCTTTTGGTCTTTAGCCAATAGTGGTTGGATAACGTAAATTGTATCGGCTGCTATAAAATATATAACTCTTCTAAATATATCACTTGAATAGGTAGCTGATTGGCTGAAGTCTAAAAAGTTGTCATTAGCTAAAATCCACTGTTAAATTTAATATCAGTCAGGCGTCGGACATTATCTATGAGAAACTTAATTATATATACCTACGGAAATACGGAATACTATGATACCTTTATCGACCATAGGAACTATCAAGTTTATAAAAACCGAATGCGACGTACTCTCAAAGTCTAAATCGATCGAGCGACAGTCGTTTTTAGTAAGTTTATTTTAACTCGATAAAAAAAGACAAATGGTGCATTAAAATACAATCGTCCATTGGAAAGTAATCGCAGATTCGATTTGGGGCAATTGTACGATAAATTATAGAGGCCAGATGAAATCTCGAGTAGATGTGGCCATGTGGGATATATATAAGCTAGCAGTTATGCGTGCGCATGTGCCATGTGTCATATTGTGAGGTTGAGAAAAATCCAATCAAATCAATTTTGTTGGTCTATTTATTGTATTATCTTTAAAATAATTCATTATTGGCGTGCCATATAAATGAGTACCTTTATAGTCATATAGGTAGCGGCACGTCGAGGGCTGACGACTTGGTGTTTTCAACCAGTTTTTTTTATTTTCTTTGACCCAAAAATAAATTTGTATTCTTCTTAATTCATTTTTTAATCAACTGAATTTGTATAAGGAGTAAGGACCCACTTTCAGGAAATTAAAAAGGAAAAAAATTCCGACCCGAACACGCGTCGGTCAAGTGCGAGAGAACTTTTTTTCCGGAATTACCGGAGATTTGCCCTCTTGTTTAATTTCCTTTATTTTTTTTCACGTTCCCCTCAGAGAGTATACATATACCTATACATATATATTTTTTTAATTCTAGCAGTTTTTTTCCGTCTCGTTTTAATTGGATGTGTAAAGAGAACCCTCGTGACAGTAAAATGCGAACACTCCAATAAAAATAAAAACAAAAAATAAATGTATACATATTCTTTTAAACATTAAATTAATAAATTACTTTTTGAGCAAGAAAAAATCTATGATCTTTGATACATTTATTGTTCGACCTATTCATACCGAATTCCATTAATTGAATTATTTTTTAGGTATTGTTCTGTCTAGTAATATATAACTATATTCATTTTATTTTAGTTTCACTCATTACAATAACCTTACACCCAAGAAATTAAAAAATTCTCAAAAATTAAAAAAAAAACCATTTCATTTTTGAAATTTATTGAACATACATAATTTATTATTCAACCGCAAAATAAAAATACCTATATCATAATATTAGTACCTATATGTATACTCATTTGGAAGATTAGATGATTAAGTTGAATAGTTAATGTTAGTTTATAGTTATATCATAGTAGGAAAATGACATACTATGCATAAACATGTGATAAATAATCTGATTATAATATTAAACTCATACCTGTATCTAATCTACAAACAAAATCATCGGAGGATTGTAAAAACTGAACGTATTTTTGTATGAACTATTGCTTTAGGTAAACCTACATTAAAATAATTGTTATTGGTTATTATTAATCCTATAAAAACACAATTATATAAGACGGTTGAAACATTTGTACCTAAATACCTACTTATTTTTATTTAAAACTAATTAAAAATAAATAATGATAGAAATGTTGCTGTAGGTACTCACTTACAATATTATATAAAACGACATGTAAAAACATTGATGTAATTTTAAATTATTATTTATAGTTGTTAAAATATTCAGAGGTCGAGTCCGTGTTTCACAAGCCTTTATAACTTCTTTATGTTGTTCGTGTTCGTATACAACAAGGGTCAATCGGAATATCCTTAAGAGTTGTTATTATTATTATTTTTTTATTATATAGATTATTGAAATGTTTACTTATATTTCTGTATAGAAACATAATATTCTAGGTTGTTAAATGCCCTGAAAGGTCGTCTTTGCATATCATAATAATAATTTAATATCCTACCTACGTATTACCAGCTTACAAATGAACGATATCATAATATATCATTGCGTGTACCGTGTAGGGATAATATTATATACCAACGTAGAAACACGCTTGGATGTTTTTTAAATAATGTCAGTCGATGTAGTATACATAATACATATGTATATAATTTGGGGTATTTGTTTGCTTATGCACAATGTAAACACACACACTATGATTGTTCATACACAGGGCATAAATTATATATCTATTTCGTCTATGAAACGGAGATAAATAATTTTTTTTAAAGAAACATAAAATAATAACTAATTTTTATCCTTTTATTATATTTAGTTTTTTCATAATTTTTGCACATATAATTATATTGGGTCGATATTTTTTCATTGTTGTCTACAGTCGTAATTATTATTTTTAAGGCTTTTAAAGAACATGCAAAAATGAGGGCAATATAATATGTATTTCTTTTATAAAATAAAAAAACGATCCATTTAAAACAAGCCTACTGCAATATTCCACCGAAATTCTCAACGATTATTATTGTTACTATTTACTGTTAAACGTCAGGCGACCTCTTAACGAGTAATTAGCAGAATAATTCACCTGGACAAGGGACGCCGGTGATGCGGAACAGTTTACGCGGAGGGTACTGCATGTCGGCATGGTGCGGTGTGGTGCGAGCGGTTTAGCGGTACTCGGGGGGGGGGGTAACAATTAATAGCGTCCGGACGATCTTTTCCGCAAGACTTATGCCCCGACAGCAGCCGTCTTGTTTAGCAATTAATCAGTATAAGTATCAACCCTCCGGTATGCCGTTTTATATATAATATAAAGCAGAGACGTTATTCTCTCTCGACCGTGCGTTTATCTCCATCACTCCTTCTCCGCCGTCCTATAAATATACGGCACAACTATAATAGCTAGCTGCAGTGCGTCGCGCCCACCACCATTACGTAATTGTTTCCAATTTACAACTCCGCCCGGTCGTCGTTTGACCGGTGACACCGCCAAGGACTTGAAGAGAGGACGCAACTTTGTCGTCGGTGTATACACATTTATGCACGGATAGGGAACAGAGAGAAAGAGAGAGAGAGCGACCAACAGAGCGCGAGTGAAGAAAGATAGAGCAAGTGAGAGGTTTTCAAATATTAAAGTGCGAGGGGGGCGACAACATGTTAAAACACGAAACGAGCGACGGCGGAGAGGAAAATTGGAACGCAGCCGTCGTCTTGGCTTGTTGATCTAATTGACTCGTTTTAATGGCTGTCAAAGGAAAAGGATTACAGTGACGGGCCTTTAAGGAACCCTCCGTTTTCTCGACAAATTAGTTGGCCAAAGTTATCCCATCAAAAACGAACCCTCGCGTTGATGCGTTCAATAATACTTTATACACTTTATAGTTTTTTATAGCCATTAAACACGGCAGACCTAACCTATATATTATACGACATCAATCTTAATGCCTTAAAAAAAAAACGCCCTTACCTGTGTGAATGTAAGTGTGCTTCTTCATGTCGGATTTCTGATGAAACCGTTTTCCGCAAAACTGACATGGATATGGTCGGGTGTCTGAGTGGATCAGCAAGTGCGTAGAAAGAGTGGACGATCTTTTGAACGTTTTACCACACTGTTTGCATTCAAACAGTTTTTCTACGTTATGCGCCGATCGACGACAACAGAGCCATCTGAAAAAGACGGCAACCGAGTACAGTATGATAAAATAATGAAGCAATAATATTTTTTAAGTTGACGTTATAATTGTTAACAAGTGTATATAGAGAATCAGAACAAACGAGATTTATCTAAACTCGAAAAGTATATTTGTCGACATATTATAGGCAAAGGTGCGTTAGTATACAAGCAGTGTTTTGGGCTTGTGATTGAACGTCAATAATTATATCCACAACACTGCAATACGGCGCAAATGTCTATTTTCAAACAATTAATAATAAATCAACGAAATTCGGTGACTTGATTAATATTGAAGTAGTTATGTTTTATTGTCAAGAGAAGAAATTAAATAGAATTAAATTTATTGGTGTGTTTGTTATACGTATAATATATTAATACGAGTATTATCATGTGAACAGTATGCTTATTATTTTTTTTTCAAATTTCTCATTAAAATACAACTATAATATACATTACTTTTTTATTTGATCAACAAAATATAAACATTTATAAGACATGGATTTAATGATTTATCATGCTGAAATTCTAATTAAATACATTTCTTTCATCTCACGGACATGCTTTTCATATAGGTACGTCTTTAATTTACAAAATCTAAATTGTTGAAGGCAAATTTACAAATTATTGAGGACATTAAATATTTTTAATTCTTCATATATTTTAGGTTCCTATGTTTGTTGTTTTATACTTTCAAATATTATTAATACCTATCACATGGCTATAGTAATTAATATTGATTAAACATTTATTATTGATAAAAAACTCATAATTGGAAGACTTAAGCTCAAATAATTGTGATGAATAAAAAATTGTTTGCTGTAGATAAATCCATGTAAAGTTTTCATTGCTCAATAATATTTATTTAAAATAAAAGTCGGTGGCTGTGTCATAAAATCTTATATTTTATAGGGCGATATTGATGATTATGGAGACAGTCTGGTTGAAATGTAGAACACAATATTTTATAATTATTACAAAATATGATAACGATATAGAACGGGTCGGACACGACTAACCGGTGTTGGTTCAGGCTTATCTCGGCACCGAACGATTTGTTGCACAGCTCGCACGAGAACGGCCTCTTGCCATTGTGCGACCTCCGGGAGTGCACCTCCAGACCGTGGGACGTCGGGAACATTTTGTCACACTTGATGCACGAGTACACGTCGCCGAAGACGGAGCCTCGCATCAACATGTGGTGGTGTCGCATGTGGCCGCCGGGGTCAGTCGGTGGCGCTGCGGCCAGCGGCTGATTGGCGCCGGGCGCGAACTGCTGACGCAACTTCATCATGTCCTCGGCCGACGGGTGCGGCACCACCACACCGCCGGAAGTCTGCTGTTGGCCAGACGAGTGGAACGGATTGGCCGCCGGTGAACTCATGCCTACAACATGACACACGCACGATCATAATGTTTAACACACTTCTCATGATGATGATGTTAGGTTGAGGTAACAAAGGGGGCATATTTTGTCTCAGCTTTGGCGAAAGAGTATCACATGAATTAATAATTAAATTATGATTTATGGATAAAAAAAAGAAAAATGTTGACAGTTGTTGTTAGTGAACTATTTCAATCGATCAATGTATGGTTGGATATTAGAGTATAGTCTAGCATAGACAATAGTCTTGGCATAGTTTGAAAAAAAAAGGTTTTGAACTAAGGTACGTCTTGTCAGCCTCCAAATGTGAAGGGAGAATTATTTAGTTATAAATTCATAATAATTTAAGGTTGGGTATGGATTAGATGTACGAAAAACGGAAAATTATATGAAATACGTCAACCTGCGTTAATTGTAAACATCGTGAACTACCTATAATATATTATTATGTAATGGAAGGAAAATAATTTAATTATTTTTCTACTCAAAACTGAAATGTTGACCAATAAATAATATAAACTTACAATAAATATATTGTGTATTGTTCCTAATTTGAACATACATATATATACATATAAATACGCAAATATGGAATCGAAAATGGTTCGGTAAAAAAATAACTTCCTGAGTAAAATGTATTGACTATAGGTTAAATTGTTACTTTCATTGTATGGTATAGGCATATTTTTTGATATTTAATAAAATGTATTTTTTAAAGTGCAGTATGATGTATTCAATTATTCCATTGATTTGGAAACTTTCTAATAGTACAAATATGTTCTGCAATTAAACTATATTGTGACTATTCAATTTACAAGTGAACACATTGTGGCGCCAAGGTCATTTCCTAGAACCCTTCCCTCTATTTCCTAATCAACGACCACGATAATACGTCAGCAACCCTCATACTAATAAGTAATAACTAATCACACACATAAATTATGGATAATGACATATTAGAGGTACATCGTACAAACAATTTCAAACATTTCATTGGAGCAATAATAATTTCTATCTATTTATTTATAATTGCTTATAGCTATAATATTCTCTTAATTGATACCTAATAAACCAAAAAATTACTACCAATCGAAGCAATATAGACAAAAACTACAATTACAATTTTTTATTTTAACTGTTAACTACGGAGTGAATGAGACACATTTAATCAAAGAAGGTGTATATAGTTTATGGTTCTCTTCATATAAAACAATATGTAATTACAGTGTTTTCGTTATTTTATAACAACTGTTTCTTCAACTCATAACTTTGAATAAATTTAGTTTTCATATAAACATTTGTATTAAACAATTCAAATTATAAAAAATTTAAAACCATGAAAGTTTGACAGTTGGGTACTTTTGTGAGAATACCAATGATCGCCTCTATTCAATATTATTTGTATTTTATTCCTTTTTGAATTATGAAACAAAAATACATCTATCATATTCCCGTTTACTGTCGGTAACTTTTGTTTGTTTTTCCCATTTTTTAAGAAAAGCATTGAGCATTTTCTACTTTTAATTGAATGCACTAACGATGGAAAAAAATATTTCTAACCGTCACAAACGCACGGAACACTATGTAGGCCCTATAGTACAGGGATTAAGAAATACAATTATGTAGAGAATTTGTAATTGAGTTATTATAATTATATCGTTGACTTACCCGTTGAGGACAGAGGATGGACAAAAGCAGCGGCGGCCGCTGCCTGGACAGCGCCCAGACTCAGATACAACGAGCTGGTGAGCAAGTTGTGATTGTTATCGGTGTGAGGGTCACCACTGCCGCCACTGCAGCCGCCGTTGCCGCCGTGCTCAGGTGAACCGCTGGACGGGTTCAACATGTTGGCGGCCGAATAGAAGTGCGGGTGAAAGCTGAAACCGGAAAAGTGTTTCTGCAGCAGAGTGTTGGCTGCGGACGGGTGCAGGTGCACTTCCTTCCGGGTGTCTTTGATCAGGTCCGGGAACTGGACGGCAGGGTACAGCAGTGATCTCGTTACCGATATGGTATCCACGGCTGTTATAGCTGGCGACTGCTGCTGCTGATGGTGGTGCTGTTGGTGGTGCTGTTGATGGTGTTGTTGCTGCTGGTTATGGTGGTGGTGATGGTGGTTGAACGGATGTCTAATAGTGCGGGGCGCGTCTGGCTTGAGCAGCGCACTGACACTGAACGCCTCAGAGTTCTTGGCGGTTACCGGCGGCTTGCGGGCAGTCACCTGCACCATAGATACGATGGGCTGAGGGGGCTGCTCTGGTGGAGGAGGGGTGGTACCGCATTTGGTCACGTCGATGTCCGGTGACGCCAACCGGCTCTCCACGTCTAGTTCGGACGATGAGGACGGCGATGGCGAACTCCTCACCGGTGACCATATCTTCCGGGATGACTCCCTAGCGCATCGGCCGCTCTTCACTTCCCGTTCGTCGTCGTCATCGTCACCAGGTCCCCGACGGTTATCGATATCCGGTACATTGAGGCTTTTGGTGATGTTGTTGTTGTTGTTCGCAGCGTACGATGTGTCGTAAGCCGAACGGCTGTCGTTGAACTTTTCCACCAGGCGACTGATGCCGAACTTTATGCAATCTGGAAACGGAATAAAATATAGATCTTTATTAAAATAACTAGCTGACCCAGCAAAAAAATGTTGTATTGCCAAGTAATAATTTTTTTTAGAAGTACTTAACTAAACCAAAAATCAACGAGAACACCAACTAAAATTAATAGTAACCGTATGTACGTAAATATGGTTTCGATAAGATTTGTGGTTTCTGAGATTACGGATTACTAACAATCGCACACAATAATTTTATATTTACTGTATAAAAACACTTATAGATAGACAAAACATATGATGGTTTTTATGGTTTTTATGGAATTATCTAAGTATGTTTATTTGGTTTAAAATGTGAATATTGATATAAGTTACAAAAACAATCTTTTAAAAAAAAATTATGATATGCATAGCCAATTACTCAATGCATTATTAGTTACTTATTATACAAAGAAAAATTGATCGAAACACCAGTCATCACTACCCTTACACAGTAGGACTTGTATTATATATTATACTACATAGGTATCTTTATAAATTATAATTTTCAGATTGTTTTATAATATATGAGTATATAGTGTACCTACAATCTACATGAATAAATGTACAAACGGGTTTATTTAATTTCATAAAAGCTAATTTGTGTATGTAGTACTTGTAAATCGTAATCAACTGTATCTCTCACCTTAAAGTTTGTCCCTGCAGACAAAAAATTGTTTTCTAGTCAACATTTTTAAAACATGATTTCGTACAATATGATGCCGTATAGAAAGCCATGACATTATCATGGTTCATATTTGGCAAGAGGTAGTTAATGAAACTATTTGTTTTCACGTTTCAAAAATCTGAGATGATCTAATTATATAGAGCTCTATTATACATTTATAAAGCTAATGATTACGCAAACATTTTGAAAGTATAAAACCTATGGGAACTAATATCCATTCAAATATTTATGTGAGTCCCGAAGCCCATCATACAGGAGATGGGCGGCTCTGCATAACGCATAATATTATATAGTTGGCGAACGGGTGTACGATACCAAACACTGTCTGTAATATACACGCACAACGCATAATATAACAAAATACAAAATATACAGGTACGCATAGACGAACGAAGCAATCGTTAACGTTGTTTAGATTGCCGTATATTACAGCCATCTCGCGGTGCCCCTCATGCCAATATTTACTCGACGTGTGGTCTGGGCGGCGGTCCCTAAGTCCCCGATACGCCGCACGAACTACACGAGAAGGGTTGGGAAAAAATGAAAATAAAAATTATACCCGCACCGAATTATATACGATTGCACTCATACACACACACACACACACACACACACACACACACACATAAATTATCATAACGTCGCAGCAGTGCATATACCTGGAGCGGGCACTAAGCGTATAAATAATATATCTATTTATATATGAATATAAATATTGCGTTATATACAGCCTGTCGCAGTGTCGCATGACGTTCTGCGTGTTGTAGATATATGTATAGCTCGCTAAGCAAACACATCACGTCTACGACACACTCCGGGGCCGCGACTGTCGGTTGCCGTGCGCGCCAGGATAAACAAACCGTCAATTTTTATCAGTAATAATAATATATATACAACAATATATATACACACACATACACGTGGTTTTATTATTTACGACGCGTGCAATAAACCGTATATAATATTATAGATGACTGTCGTGTGTTATTTGTCTTCGTTGCACTCTCCCCTTCACAAACTACCCGCACCACCACCCACCTCCAATGACCAACCGGTATTTAAATTATAATAAATTCGATACCACAACGCGTGCGATATATTATATCCGTCCGATATAGGTACCTCATTCCCGCTATGAAGCTCTTTCGATTGTTTTTACCGTCCATCCAGAAACGCAGGAACGTGAGGAACACGTGTAAGTGGGACGAGGATTCGTCACTAAAACCCCGTGTGGGCAGCCATCCGGGAACTAGCGACGTTGGCCGAAGTTTGACCACGGAGCCAGTTTGTCACTGAGGCCAACCACCGAGCCCCACCAGGCTCCAATATTTTTTATGTTTTTATTACCATCGTTACCTACTTACGACTTACATATCCATATTATCATGTTATGTCTAGTTCTGGCAGAGGCGCATCGTAACCTTTCGTTCGCACAGTGGAAACGATTTATCACAGCTACTATACTATGATTTTTATCTATAATAATATTTGTATTATAATATAAAAAAGACGAAAAGAAATAGATATCTATCTCTTTTCACCTTTGTGGGACTTAGTACCAGGGTGGCAGGGCATCATTTGACTTTCTATTATGTCTCAAAATCTCCAATCAACGAAAAGTTACAGTTCCTACAAAAACACTATATTTAAATCATCGTATGTGTAGTCTAAGTCACAATACACAGACATCACACACTTTCATCCGTTTCAATATCGTAAATGAAGAATCTAAGCCAAAATAATTGTTCAAAATATGTTTAATTGAAAAAAAAAAACAGATTTTGATGCTTTTATAAATTTGATTACTCGTGTACAGTTGTATTTGATATATTTAGAACTAATATATAATATTTATTTCAACAAATTGTTTGCACCCTTAAAGATAAATTATTGTAAAAACCCATCCAAGGGTGACTACACATATAAAAGAAAATTCGTCACACCGTCATGGTTCTTCATAACATAATAACTATTAATTGATAGAGAAAAAAAGTTGTTGCTTTTAAAGTTGACAATAACAACTGTTACGAGATAATAATACAATAACAAATAAAATTAATAATATTGATTCCAATTTCACTAAAACACATGTCATGCTTATACAATTCTACAAAAATTGGGTTATAAACCTATATATGATTCAGTTGCACAAACCAGCATTAGGTATTTAGGTAGGCACTGCGCTTGTAATATACGACTAGTGTGAAACACGATTCATTTTTAAACTTCAAAATGGCATAATTTACAAAAATAATAAATGTTCACAATATTATCGACCATCAACTCCTCCACTCACCATAAAAAACCTAGCTGAAATCACACGATCATTCGATGATAATACATCATTGAATCGTTGAACTCGGTCGCGTCAAGTACAACATGTAATTTACTCAACGCATACAATATAGGTAGGTGCTACATTGTTGTGTATAATATATCCATTTGAAAAACAAATCCATGATACGATTGTTTGTACGGAAATCACCATATTGACAAACGTATAACATCATTACCAGATAGTAGTATGCTATGACAACAGTGCAATATTGGGAATGGTTAAGCCGAATAGCGATTTCTGAGTCACTGCGACGACTTTCTATGTACAGCATGTTACCGATTATGACTTGAAGATACGCGACGAGTGCCTATAGCTAAAACACAAATAATATGTACGCTATATTACTATATAATAATATAAAGTGTACACCTGTGCGCGCAATATAATGTAATAGAATAAAATAGTACAATAATGACGTTTCTTTGAAAAATTTACGTCAGAGACTCCTTTGTCGGCGGTGGCGTTCGAACACATTGATATTATTATAATATTAGTACATATTATTATTAGACGGGCACCTAGTACACCATCGGTTGCGATGCTGTTGCTCGAACCCTTCTGCCATTCAAGCCATTATAAATCGTTCCTGGGCATTTTCGATTCGCTATACCGAAAACACCATGTGAAAACACGCCGGGTACAAACTATGTAATAATAATATATTATACGAGATCCTTTCGCTTTTCTTTATTCTTTTCTATCGAGATTATTCATGAATGCTTCGTGAACGCTTTAGATATAATATTATATTTATATTCGTCGGCGCTATCGACGAGTGAACACCGGTACGAATATTATGCGCCTTGAATGATGCACACACCATAATAGGCACAAAGTATCATGAATTTAACATTTTCAACCGGAACGTCTTTATCGAGTGATTTCTCGACACTTGCTTTCGCATCCGTCTTAGATTTACGAGTGATCGGCACTATACAACGTGATCGCGTAATCCTCTATATTCTATACATGCATATTTAATCGATGTCGGTCGTATATTTTATATTTTGAACTTGTCTGTTCGTTTGTTGCAGAACGAACGTGACAAGTGTTTGCAGCTCATAATGCTATTCTGTTACACGCGTAGTATGCATTACGTTGTAAATTATTTTACGACTGTTGTCACAAATACGTTAAATATATTTATAGATGAGATTATTTTTATGACAGATGATGTGTAAACACGAACAACTACTCGATCGGATAATATTTACAGCGCAATTTGTATCATAAAACCATAAACTATAAATGATTTCTTTTACCGTTCGACTTCAAACCTGTGTCTAGTGCCTACGTATACAACAATATTATGTGTTTAGTGTTCAATGAATTCGAATATTGTTTCGGTATTTGACAGACAATTGTATACACTACCTACTGATGAATAATAACGCAGGTACAACTGTCCAACAAAATGAGTGCGATTGTTTGAAATTATTTTTTCCCGGACGTGAGAAATCCCTTGAATATTATTTCTATTATATAAACACGGAAATAACAGTGATTTTAGAGTGATTATTAATCATTTTCAAGTGATATATTTAACACATAAGTCAGCTAATGATTTATATTTAATTGCATTCGTGGTATTGATAAATCAGTGGTAAGGATTCAAATCAATTCAATTATGAAAATCAAGTGTGAAAACACTCAAGTGTCCGAATGGGATCCTTATTACATTATCTTGTAACATTCATTCAGTTAATTCCTCAGCACAAAAACCATTTGACGATTCCACTCATCGGTTCATAATATAAATCACTGTGAAAATGAATACTGTTTTTTTTTTCTATAGTTGAGCTATGGATTGGATTTAGCTTGTGCATTAATTCAAGGATAAACTTATGCAGATAAAACTTGTATAGTAATAACTATTATAATCATTATAATACCTACCTATAGTGTGAATATGAAGTGATATATTAATCCACGATCGATTGGCTACAAAAAAACGACAGTAATGTTGT